TCGTCAGTATATCATACTTAAAACAGCTTAAAACAGCTTTCATTGTTGTTCCCGCTGCGTCTATCATTGTGACCGGTTATGTCTCATTGTGTCAATCGTGTTGACTGTAACTCTCGTTTGTCTGTCACATTGCGTCTAAGGCTCATCTCTGTAGCAGTTATCCAGCTCAGGGGCGGTGGGGTAACTCAGTGGTTAAAGCGTTCGCTCGTCACGCCGAAGGCCCGGGTTCGATTCCCCACATGGGTACAATGTGTGAAGCCCATTTCTGGTGTCCCTCGCTGTGACATTGCTGGAATATTGTTAAAAGTGGCGTAAAACCCAACTCACTCACTCACGTTACTCACTGTTATCCACTTCGGTTGTGACTATCCTTTTTTGAGTCCGTGTTACTTGCTGTCTCTCATTGTGACTCTCATTGTTTTTCTAGGTCATTGTGTCCTTCAACCGGACTCACTGTAGCACCAATTGTGTCTTTCATTCGGTCAATCATTGCATCTGTCAGTGTGTCTTGCATTGTGTCTGTCGTTGTCTTCTGTTGTGTCTTCAACTGTTTATCTTTGTTACTATCGCCGAGAGAATCATCTTGAGTCTTGTAATGACTGTCAGCGTGTCTCTCGTCGTCTCTCATTATGTCGTTTACTGTGTCTTTAATTGTGTCTATCAATACGTCCCTCCTGTCTCTCGTTGTGATCCTCACCCTGAGTCGGTTGCCCTGGCGTGTGGCTCTGTTCCCATCCCCCCGCTATCTTCTCCAGTCCCGTTATGTACTTAGCCAGTCTGTATATTGGCTTGACTGTAATTCTATCAACTGCCAATAAGGTTTCGCTTCACACAAAAAGTCGACCCCTAGGGACGGCGTAGACACGCCAGGTCATGGTAGGAGTCTATTTGTGGACAAGCGGAATCTGCTAATCCTGTTAATGTCCACTTGAGCAAATATAATTCATATCCTCCATTTAATTCCTTCTCACCTTCTAACGCCGGAGTCGTGGGTGGCGTTGAGTCTGTCCGCGTCAGTCTTATCAACCTACCCTCCCCCAAAACGCCTGAGTCCATGACCTCATCACTTACACACTGCATCCTAAATATCGTTGTCCAGGCAAGCAGAAGTTTGACAGAAACAAAAGAATGTGGAATCGTTGCACATAATTAACTGACAGGCGTGTTATCGTGCAAATTGTTTGTTGTTTTATTATTTTACTCATCAACATCCCAGTCTGTAAATAATCGAGTCTGGACCAGACAATCCAGTGGTCAACAGCATGAGCATCGATCTGCGCAATTGGCATACGATGACATGTGTCAACCAAGTCAGCGAGTCTGACCACCGGACCCCGTCAGTCGCCCGGGTTACAACTGATCTTCAGTAAGCCATACCTGTCCTAAAAGACGAGTAAAGGGATTAATCATCTGATTTTATCTCAGATGCGTAGATCGAAGCTCATGATGTAAATCACTGGATTGTCTGGTCCAGATTATTTATTGATCGCCCTCGTACAGCTGAGATATTGCTGAGTGAGACGTTACACAACAGACAGACAAACAAACAAACAAACAAACAAACTGATGGAGATACACTGGCCACAGTACGATGTGGCTTGTAGCCAGATCGGACGAGGGTCATCCGCTCCCCATGTATAGTTCAGTTGGCTCTTCCAGACAAACACACCGCGTCCGTGGTGTAGTGGTTAGAGCGTCCGCCCGGAGAGCGGAAGGACGCGGGTTCGATCCCCGACCACGTCATACCAAAAGACGTTAAAATATGGTACTTGTTGGTCCCTGCCTGGCGCTCGGCATTAATGGGTACAACAAGGACTGGTCGGCTCGGAGTCAGTATAATGTGTCTGAGTGGGGTATTCATGCTTCACTGCGACATGGTATCTCAGTGGGCTAGCACCATAAAACCAGCTTCAGTCTGGGCTAGAACAAGCAGCCGCACATACATATACACACGCATGCACGTCGTCATATGAGCGAAATATTCTCAAGCACGACGTTAAACTCAATTTCACCTCACCTCCAGACAAACACGAGAAGGTGCTGGATGAAGATGCAAGATAAAATTAAAGATAACAGGTAGAAATACATTCCAAGAGAATGGTTAAGCTCGAGCTATTGGCAGGTGGTTATGGAATATCGACTTATAAAACGCTCTTACCGGACAGATAATAACCACAACGAGAAAAGCGTTATCGACCTAACGTTTAATGAACGGAAAATATATACAACGGGAAAAGCGTTATCGACCTAGTGTTTGATGAACTGATAATTTATACCACGAGGAATGGGTCCACACACATTAAGAAACGAAAGTATTGACCGGTAAACTTCCTTACTCAACAGATGCTGGTTCTCACGTGCGTTTTGTCTCACACAACATGTCTTCTAAAACAGATGATAGATATCAAGGTAGTATTGACCAAACAAAGTGTTTATGGAGTAAATAATAAATGTCGGGGCGGTATTGGCCAAGCGGTAATGACCAAGCCCTTTGTTCACTGAAGACGTGATGTATATCAAGATAGTACAGAGCGAGCGATGTGCTTAGTGGATAGACGATATTTCTCCATTGTGTATCGAGAACTGAAATGGTGGACTATATATCTGATATATCCGATATCCGTACCGACACGTGCAGGTACGTATTGTCGGACCGTCCGTAACGGCAAGTACGTATCCCTTGTACATGAAACGTTGCCGAACCATGTTCCTGTACAACTCAGTGTATCTAGAATGAATTCAGTGTAGTTCAAGCTAAAGGGACAAAGGAGAGCATGTAGTTTATCGTTATTTTTCTGTATATGACGTTAATTATGAATTGACTTGCTGTATTAAGGTTCATACTCCAATGAACTCAAACAAAGTGAAAGTCAATTATTATTGGGTTTTAGTCCTCTCGGTTATGCCTTCTGGCTGGTACACAATTCCATGTTGTAAGTTTGACTGTTTACACTGACAACCACACAACAACTATAACCCTGGATATAATAGTTCATGGAATGGAGAGGTTGCCCGAGCCTATATATGTTCAACTTGCTTTTCAAAGAGCTTCCCCTTTCGTACAGTTCCAACAAGATTCACATAACACCATCTGCAGATAGCGTGTTTTATTCAGGTGAGTATGTTCAGTGATATCCTTCGTTATACACTTATGTGAAATGAGACGCTATTCTTCATTAATCAACTGGCCATTCATTGAAAGCTGATTATAAAGTGAGTGAGTGAGTGAGTGAGTGAGTGGGTGAGTGAGTGAGCGAGCGAGCGAGTATGATTTTACTCCATCAATATCACGGCGGGGACATACTGTGTCTCCCCAGCGAAACTTTACCCATCACGCTACCCCAACGCCCCTGCTTATAGAGATGTGATACTAAGGTCAAAATACAGACCTGTTGTATCGTGTCAGTTACAACAACCCGACAGTATAGACGACTGTGCATTTCCTCGCTTCTTTCACTACAATCGGCCGAAGCGAGGTTTTTCTTGCACGAATACGCACTCAGATGCGTCGTTTTCCAATTTAGGTTAAAATGTCTTAATGACCAGAAACAACGATTTTGTATTGATTCGTGAGAAGGAAATCAAATGTGTTGTGCCAGGAATGTGGAAGTAATCCGACAGTGTTTACGTCATTTCCGTAATACAGCCTCGTAAAAACATATGAACATCAAAATGTGTTGTTCTTGCACGTGTGAACGAACCCGTGAAAATCCGGGTTTGAATTGATCTTCAGTAACCCATGCTTGTCGTAAAAGGCAACTAACGGGATCGGGTGGTCAGGCTCGCTGACTTGGTTGAAGCATGTCAATTGCGTAGATCGATGCTCATGCTGTTGATCACTGGATTGTCTGGTCCACACTCGATTATTTACAGGCCGCCGCCATATAGCTGGAATAGTGCTGAGTGCGGCGTAAAACTAAACTCACTCACTCACTTGTGAACAACTTCTCGTCCTACTGAAAATGGGAACATTGTGTGAAGAACATGTTACCATGCTTCACAATGAGCTCTGTGACGTCACCAAGACCATACTACTTGCAGTTGAAGCGTAGTGTGGACAGAAATTTTGTGTCGCTAACCTTTAGGAGTGTCTTTAAAAACATCTTGATTCATGAAATACCTGTTCTCCACACATGGGTAAATTAAACAAATGTCAAAAGTCAGTTTTAAGGCACACACAGTACATACACATGTACTTTATCTTCATGTTACCGCCATTATTTCCTGAGTTCAGACCGTTAGACTCAACCCACGGGACTTGACTCAATCCGTTTGTTGACGCCACGATCTTCACGTTACATTCCGATATTGCCGTATGGAGATAGAATAATGTGTTTCCTGAAGGTTACCCGTAGGCTGCAACTAGATTGGCAACGCAAGATAAAACAAGCTTGGTAGTTTAACGCAGTTAAATTGAGATGTAACAAAACTCCCAATTATATATCTTTGAGCTTATGTTTGTGTTTGTTTTGTGCCTCTAAACTGTGAGTACAACCAACATTACATATGGCAAAAGGGCGGTGGAGAAGCCAAACGGCTAAGGCGTTTGCTCGTCACATAGAAGACCCGTGTTCGATTCCCCACGTGTGTGCGTTGCCATGTTTAGTGTTTGGGGTTATTGCTAAAATGAATAAAATGAATGAGTCACCCATATGTACCTGCCCGCAGTCTCCGTTCCAAAACCGCTACTCATAACTTCACCCATCTTCATCTTTGTAGCGCTTTGAGCATACCCAAGGGCGTGGAAAAGGCGCATTATAAATGTGCATTATTATTATTATTAAGCAGTATCCCAGAAACGTCAAGACGGGGAAAAATGGCCTCACACATTGTACTCATATGGGAAATCGAACCCAGGTATTCGGCGAGACGAGCGAACTACTCAACCAGTCTCGGCAAAATTCCATACCCATTAGTTGCACAAAATTAAATACAACCGATGTATATGTATGTGACCGCTTGTCAGGTTTGATAAAATGTGTTCACTCAATATGTTTCAGATGGAGACCACTAGAAGGTATCAACCAATCACATTAACCGGAAGTCACGTGGTATGAAGCAGTCTTGATGAGCACGTGCTGTGGTGAGTTGATCACATTAAGATGGCAACGCTCAAAACAAAGTATACACCTGTCTTAGGGATTATTCTTTTTTTAAAAACCAAGATAAATTTTTGGGAAAAGTGTTTTGACCATGATTTTTACAGCTACAGCTGTATGTGTTGGCAAACACCTTACAATATTTAACAAGCACAAAGCACCAGGTGTGGACTTTCTTTTGTACGTCAATGTTACCTTATTTCAAGTAGAACTGTCTACTTTTGAGCCTTGTTGAACTACCTGCAAGTACATGTATTTTGTAATTCCTACGACGTAATGGACAAATCACGAAAGACAAATGGCCGACAGAGATGCATTGTGGGAGTGTCATAGACCAGGTGCCGTGGCTGTAGTGATACTCAGTACATTCTGTCAGTATTTATTTTCAACACAGCTGAACCTTACGTTCTCAGCTTCCACGAAAGAACAGGAACACGACATGCACTGTTCCCCTCTGATGTTCAATTGAACAGACAGTGATTTTCGAAAGTGACGAAAGATAACTTACATTATACTTGTGATTAGGACTGCACGGAATTACCGGTATACCGGTTTACCGCAATATTGCAATATACTTTTTCTGATAACCAGTATATTGGGAAAAGAACATATATGAAGTTTTTGTGAATATCTTTATGGCTTAAATTAAAATCTATTTTCACACATACTGTCATTCACAACAAATGTTTCCCTTCGTTAGTCAATGACAAGGCGGCATACTGTACTATAAATTTTATTTTTTAAAAATGAATGCCTAACTATGCAATTTAATTTAGAGATTGATGTTATCAGAACCATGACATATGTGTTTAGGAACTTATAATGTAGAAAATGGGATTGGCATGCACAATTAGAGTCACTCAATGTCAAACACTTAAGTTCCCAACATATCGCAATACGTATCGCAATACGGGTACCTAAATGGCGATATATCGCAATACGTATCGCAATACGGGTACCTGAATGGCGATATATTGCATTACGTATCGCAATAAGGGTGCCTGAATGGCGATATATTGCAATACGTATCGCAATACGGGTACCTGAATGGCGATATATTGCAATACGTATCGCAATAAGGGTACCTGAATGGCGATATATTGCAATACAATTTATTTGCCAATACACAGCCTTATTTGTGATAACACTTTATGAAAGTGAAATACACAATCTAGTTCTAGTTGACCTCTTGCTAAAAGGCATTGTCTCTTCGTGGCTTTCGTTACCAGTGAAGGGCCGGGTCAGAATACTGATCTTCAGTCACCCATGCTTTCGTAAGAGGCGACCAACGGGATCAGGCTCGCTGACTTGGTTGACACATGTCATCGGTTCCCAATTGCGCAGATCGATGTTCATTCTGTTGATCACTGGATTGTCTGGTGTGGTCCCTATTCGATTATTTACAGACCGCTCCATATAGCTGGAATATTGCTGAGTGCGGCGTAAAACTAAACTCACTCACTCACTCGTGGCTTCCGTCCATGGGAGCGGTTCCCATATACATTTGTCAGACGGGAATAGAGAGTGTGTGTTTTATTGTGCCAGACGATGTTTTTGTGGAAGCCACAGTGGCCGCGTGGTGTAGGTAGCTAACTTAGTGCGCTGGCGACTGAGTGTTTGTGTCTGAGAGTGGAAAGGTACAGGAAGTGTTAGTTTTCGAAATGGAGGTGAGGTGAAATTGGGTTTAACGTCGTGCTTGAGAATATTTCGGTCATATGACGACGTACATGCGTGTGTATGTGTATGTGCGGCTGCTTGTTCTAGCCCAGACTGAAGCTGGTTTTATAGTGCTAGCCCACTGAGATACCATGTCGCAGTGAAGCATGAATACCCCACTCAGACACATTATACTGACTCCGAGCCGACCAGTCCTTGTTGTAATGCCGAGCGCCAGGCAGGGACCAACAAGTACCATATTTTAACGTCTTTTGGTATGACGCGGTCGGGGATCGAACCCGCGACCTTCCGCTCTCCGGGCGGACGCTCTTACCACTACACCACGGAGGCAGTTTTCGAAATGGAGCATATGTTATATATCAACTGAGTCTTATTGTCAGCCTGGGGAATAAATCCTGAGATTATATTAGGACTGGTTGTCCTACCTTACCAGTTGCGTTTGACCTGGGATTAAAACTAAAACTAAAACTACAAGCTGAGTTGCGCCCCTTTTCGTGCAGGGATCCTCTGTTCGAGGATTTGAATCTAACGTTTTCCACGACTATGATCCTTGGTTTGTGTGAACAATCCTCATGTTTCCGAGTAACGTAAAGAGTTATGTTTCGTGAACTACCATGCCACAATACAAACCGAACAGAAATCAATGAATGAGAGCAAGTTTAAAGAGCGTTAACGTTGTTCTAATTGCTAGTGCCTCCTGACAACGCTGCCACATTAGTCGAGAAGCCTTTTGAAACTGTGGCTCACTGATCGAATGTCGCTGTCATTGAACCGATGACATTCACTATATTTTGTGTGTGTAACACTTCTCCCGACGAATATAAACATGAGATATTTTAGGAATGCTTCATTGAGTTCTTTGTTGCACGATATGAAATTAATTAACATTATTCAGATTGATAAACTCGTTCCTATGAGATGTCAAAACAAAGCATCGATGAGCTGGAAATAATGTCATAATTTACCTTTGTATGAGCATACACACTGTCACAAGGCAGACTCTCTCTCCCTAACAGAATAGTCCTTAATATACATACACAAATATAAAATATATCCCACCACACTCTCTGTCTGTCTGTGATTGCGTAGATCGATATTCATGCTGTTGAGGACTGGATTGTCTGGTCCAGACTTGCTTATTTACAGACCGCCACCATATAGCTGGAATATTGCTGCGTTAAACAACAAATCAACCAACTTAACAAGGTCAAAGAGCCGTCCACTCGTTACGGAATACGGGTTTCCAATTCCATACGTTTGTTTGTCTGTTTGTCTGTCTATCTCTGTCTCTCTGTCTCTCTATCTATCGTTTTCTCTCTCAATCCCATGATCACTCTCCCTCTCAATCTCTCTCTATCTCTCTCTCTCTCTCTCTCTCTCTCTCTCTCTCTCTCTCTCTCTCTCTCTCTCTCTCTCTCTCTCTCTCTCTCTCTCTCTCTCTCTCTCTCTCTCGCTCTCATGCTACTTGCTGTTAACAGGCAATACTTCACAACTGCCCCAGGCCACCCTACACTCACACCCATGTATGACATACGTCATTAAATGTAAATCTTGTGTATAAGCGTTGGCACACTAACCTACAGCTTGAGTCGACCTTTCCTAACACGTCCGCCATATGACGGTGTGGGCGGTATGAATCATGAAGTATACTCACAAATATGGAGAATTAACTATAATGTCATAGTTTGTTGCCGGATCAGCGTGGATTATTTCTGAGCATTATAGCCCCATATCCTCTCCTGGCTCACCAGACAATAATCCCTTACGTCGACATCTCTGGTATGTATTCACCCCCGCAGATACGTCGACATACATGATGTTATACAACGTGCAACGTCAGATCTTAAAACATTCTAGTGTATATAGGTCTCTGGGGTAATGCCGTCAAGCCATGCAGGGCAGCATATTTGGTATCCGAAGTTAAATAAATAACCAGGTGATTTTAATCACCACCCACATTTAATACCATATACTTCCCTCAATAAAGAACGCCATCCGAGCGATATCCCACCCAGGACACCTCGTCTTTATTTAAGACAGCGCCTAGATACTTACATTCTACTTGTGCTAGCGGGGGAACTTCTTGAATCTGTTTGACGAGCTCCTGTACAGTAAGACGCACGCATCTGCAGGCCAAATAGTTGTTGTCTCTCACAGCGGGAGCGTGATTGTTTGTGATGGTGTTTGCTGGTAGAAAAACGGGGTCTGTGACAGCTCAGCACGTGCCGAGGACACTTCTCACAGCCGCTGACAGTGCGCTATCCCCCATCAAGTGGCCTGTTTTTATATCAGTTGTCAAGCTTGCCTACGAGTAGGGACTAACCAACCAGCAGTGTGTTAGCGGTGTATTGTTTTGGAACGGTGTCGCTTTGCGGGTCTTGGTGAAGGTACCCCCGTCACAGCCGTCAGCCCAAGTACACTTTCGTTGTCAAACCAGAGGGTAAGTACACGTGCTTTATATCTTGGTAGAAGGACGATTTGGGTTCAGGGTGTAGTAGATGCCCACCTGGGGTGGATATGCGTTGAGATTGAATCGGGATGTGGACAGTAACAGGTGGGACGGGTGAGCTCGTGGTGGGTGGCTGGAGGAGTCCGGACAATACCATGCTGTCAAGTAATGAAGGTCGGGCAAAGAGGCACTCGTGACCACTCCTGAAGATACACGTGTCCCTGTTGTTCTATAAACTAATACAAACTTTGCAAAATCCTTAAATATAAAAGCAACTTTAAACGCAACATGTTTAGGGACCATACATAATTTATGGCTAGGGCGCTGATGATGATTGTAAGACGGGGGAGGGGTTCACCCATTTTGTTCTGGGGAATTAGGGTTGTCATCAATTCCGTACACATGTACTAAAGGGGTCAATTTTGTGCATAAAATATTATTAAATTATGCTTATAAATTATGGGAAGGTCGCGGGAGTAGTATAATGGGTTTTGTACATGACATACAGGGGTGGGGGGTGTCACTTACTTTGTACATACATTTTAGGGGGGACATTCACATTGTAATCCCTCACCACCTCCGCGATACAACGAAGTGAGAGAAGATCTCAGGTATCACACAGTCATCTGCGAGATGATGTATTATTTATAACACTAGGAAAGTTCAAAACTCATGTACACTTACGATAAAATTTATACGTTCTACATATGTTTCATATCTCATATAATCAGCTACGCCATAATGTATCATATACGTACAGCGTAAGTTCCCACATATCAGTTGCGATACAACGAAGAGACGCAGTGTACCATCTTTCATAAAGTGAGTTACAATAAACAGTTCATTTACGACACAACG